CCACCGAAACCCGCCTGGTCCTGGCCCTAATATAGACCCGGCGGGATTTCAGCGAGAGCTCCGACATGACCACGGCAGGTGGAAAATCTGTGGTTGGGAGAGAGAAAAGGGAAAGATACGCCGGGGAGTGGTTGACATGCAGCAGCCCTAGTCTCCATTCACCACCTTCTTGTGGCCTGCTATGCCACACCACCATGGAGAAGAGTTCAGACTTACCTGTTGGGTTTCTGGCGGCAGGACTCCCACATGCCACTGTCTCGGTGGAGGCTGATGTGTCTGTGGTACACAGGTGAGAATAGGAGTGTTACACGAGAGACAATACCAGCTGCTTGACTCATATCTTGCAGAAGTGCACACAAAACTAAATGCCAATTTGCCAGTAAATGCTCAGGGGGAAGTGGCAGGGGGAAAACTTTGGGTGGCGGAGGGGGTTGGTTGTGCGAAGCATTATGGACAGAAATAAACCATAGCGATAGTCATCCCCTGAGAGCTGGTCTCACCATACCCACCTTCCAGTGGTGGGAGATCCTCCATATTTCCCTCATTCTCTGCATCATCCTCAGCCTCCTGGGTCAGGGGGATGTCAATGTCTCCTTCTGGAATGAAGAGAAAAGGCAGCCTGATGTCAATTTACCAGCTTCAGTTAACTGCGCGCTGTGCTACAGAGGAATCACAGATATTAGAGGCAACCACACAGCCATTCCTGAGGTACAGGTGATTGGAGCAATGGGAAGGATGAGGAGTCAAATCCTGGACAAGGCAGAATGGCTGGCAAGGCAATATTTCTGAGGGGTATCATGGCATACTGTCATGTTGACGTACTTTAAAATTTCCACAGGCCTAGATGTACTTTTTACAATAGAGAATGGCTATATGTTCTGGTTGCCAAAATGCCCCTGTCATAGCATTATAAGAACAATCCAGATTACTGACTATGGGGAGAAATTACCTCAGTCACCAGAGGGCCAGGGCTGGAGAGAGTGTGGGGTGGGTTGCTTTGTGACTTGGTGGTGGATCCCTCCCACAATTGTATGTGGACATAGATATATACTCACCAAGGGTGCTGGTCTCTCCCTCTTCTGGCAGGGAGACTTTGCTGGCTGGTGCCAGCAATACTGTGCGACAGCCTCCTCCCCGTCGCACTCACCCTCCCATGGAGGATCCTCCTCAGCTGTGGGAAATAGGGGCAGGGATGGAATGAGGCCCCTGATGTCTCGTTTGCCGCCATTGCCTTTTTGAACCTCATTCGTAGGTCTTTCGTTTTGCTGCAGCACTGCTCTGCCATACGGGTAAACCCCTTGGCGGCAAGCCCCTCAGAGATCCTGTGGAAGATCTCAGGGGTTTTTTTTGTTATGGGCCAGCTCTTGTATTTCTAGGTCCCCCCCATACAGCCAGGAGCTCAAGTGTCTCTGTGTGGCTCCAGTTCATCCCTTTCCCTGCTGACATGGCAGAGTGACAGGTTCCCGCCAGAAGCATCCCCTGAGGTGAATATTGTGAAATGAGTTCCGGCACAAGAGGGATACCTGTGCTATGTACTATTTCACCTTCAATCCAGCCCCTCTAACAAAACACTTCCCTTTGGACTTCTGACCCAAAAATGGCCTCCGTGAGATCCTACACTCGTCTAAACGCTAAAACGAGTGACCAGTTAAGCTTTGGTTTTATTAACGCTGGTGCGAAGCTCCGCTCATGCGCATACTTAATTTTTAAAAATGGTGGACGAAAAGCGGAAGTCTCAGGCAGCTTTCGCGAGCGGGGAGGGGGCTTCCAAACAGAAGTGGCACTACAATGGTGGAGAGCAATCAGATGGGGGGGGGGTAAAAGCGGTTACAACTGTTGCACTCAGGATACCACCACTTGAGGACCTAGTGGCAGAATACAATGGTTGAAAACTTTTTGCAATGGTTAGGGACGGAAGGCAGATGTTCTACGTGTGAACGCCAGTAAGTGCACCAATTCCAACCGGCACCTATACCGTTGTAAATGCCCCGTCTGAACGCACCCATTGTGAGGGCAGCGTGCATGCAAGTATTAAATGAAGGGGTGATAGAATTCAGAAGCCAGATTCCTGAGAAAAGGCCATTTTAAAATCCCAAATTGTCCTCTTCATAGCTGATAATCCATAATGAGTGTCAGAGTTGCAGCTCTGCACTAGAAATTGCATCGTGTTTCCACAGACTTGGTGTTCATACCCTCTTAGGGTTGGACCCTGAGGTGGCCATGTATAAGAAGAAATTAACTTCTGCTCACACAAAGGGGAGCCTGTGATTTGTGCAGAACCCCCCACATAATTTAGCCTTCCTACTTTACAGCAGACAAGGAGGTTGGAAATATCTCTCCCACAAAATAATCTGAGACTATATAGATCCTTTGTTTCCACCCTAATTTCACACTCTTGGAACGTGCACCCTTTCAGAATGTCAGGGAGTACTGGGGGCAACTGGCCTCTGGAGTCTAAAAGAAGGCAGTCCTGAATGAAGATTGCCATGAGTGACACTGAAGCAGACTTTAGTGAAACTCATCTGATTACTTTGTTCATAATCCACCACCCAAGCCTGCATCTCCCACTGGAGATGTATATAACACTGCTCTTCCCTATTGTAGGTCAGACTATAGTAGCTCTTTACATTTGCCAGTGCTTTCACCCTCTAAAAGCTTAGCAGAGCATGGAAGAGACAGACCTCCTTAGGGTTCCAGGATGCTATTTTTGAAAACCTATGACTGGCAGATTCCTAAATCTTTTAAGAAATCCTCCTGCTGCATTTCTTCAAAGCTCTTAGAGGATACTGGGGAAGGAACCAGCAAATGTAAAATGCCTGACTCTCCTCTTTAACCTTCCTTACTGCAGTGGAAGATAAGATGATTTAAGATTTTTAAGTAGTTTCCAGAATCCTAGGAATAAAGAAGAAATAAAATGATAGCAAAATTAGTTAGGCAAGACCCATAAAGCTACTCAACTTTTGTAGAAAAAAGCATATGTATTGATTTACAAACATTATAGGTAAAGCCTTTCCTTGCTCGAAAGCCTGTCGGATCCGACTCTAGGGATGCAGTGCTCATCTCCGTTTCCAAGCCGAAGAGCCAGTGCTGTCCAAAGATGTTTCCGTGGTCATGTGGCCGGTGTGACTAAACGCCGAGGTGCACGGAACGCTGTTACCTTCCCACCGAAGAGGTACCTATCTATCTACTTGCAATTTCTTGCTTTCAAACGGCTAGGTTGGCAGGAGCTGGGACCGGAGACAGGCGCTCACTCCATCATGCGGCACTCGGGTCTTGAACTGCTGAACTACCGACCTTCCACTCTGCAGTTCAGCATCTTAACCACTTGAGCCACCGCAGCCCCAAACATTATACACTCATGTAAATATAAATACTGAATAACTTCCTTAGATTACAGCATTAATAACATTGAATGGGAGTTTGATGCTAATTAGATCAGGATTTTAAAAATCTGCACATGCAAAATATCTGCTAAGGACAAAAAAGGCAGAGGAATCAAGCTGCTCCGAATACTTATATACTCCAAACAAACCCCAAGAAGCCCATAAAGTCAAAAAGCTTATTCGTAACATCCTGGATTCCTTTACTTGAACCATATGTTCAGTTGGGTAGCTGTGTTGGTCTGAATCACTAGAACAAAGTTTGAGTCCAGTGGCACCTTTAAGACCAACAAAGTTTAATTCTGGGTATAAGCTTTTGTGTTTTTCACATAATGGATCTTTAGCTTGCCTCTAATATTCTGGCTGGACTCTTATCTTGTACAGAAAGCCAAGCCAAGAACATTCAAACAAGATAAATATTTCTATCTTGTACAGTTGAATTTTAGCATAACCCCCTGGGAGACTGTTAATCAAGTATGCATTTTTTTAATCAGTTTTCCACACCCAATTTTGGACTTACTGCTTTGCTCTACTGCCCTCCAATGGATAATGAAAGGAATAAATGGCAAATCCTTGCCTCCTACCTGGAGATATTTTCTGAAAGTTTAGTGCATCATTAATCTTGAATCCTCATACACAGCACTGCATGTATACGTGGAGATGCCTTTTGCCCCAAGTTAGAGCCACTGGAAGATTGGTTCCCTACTCTGCTTTTAGCAGATCCGCAGAGTCCTAGCAACACAACTTCGGTGCAGCTGTTTCGTTTATCATTGCAAATAATCAATGCTTCTTTTAATCTACACAAAAGTGTAGTGGCTTTGGGCCACATAAGGCTAAAATACCTGTACGTAACTGTAAAGTTCAATAAATGCTTCTTCTTTTTTTAATTGCATTAAATGGAGCACTGAAGGCATTTCACCTTTATGAAAGTATATAAAGGAAAGACCTATGATACTGTAGAAGTTGGAGTGAAAGATGAGGGTGGCTTAGAAAAAAACCCCCCTCTTTAGTTCTGGGAATCAACTTTGATTGTGTATTTCCAAGGAGACTGTTGCCACTATCTAGCCTTCTTTGAGGCTTGACATCTTGGAAGCTGAAGGTAGAAGACCTGGTCTGACAAAAGTATTGAACGTAGAAAAGGTATAGTGAGGTGGAAAGAGCACAAGCCTGATTCTCCTTGGATCAAAATGACTACCTATATGTTGAAGTTATCTCTAGAGAGGTCAAGTTAATCACGCCTACTTTCTACTTCTTTGTTGTTGTTCAGTTGCACAGTCGAGTCCGACTCTTAGCGACCCCATGGACCAGATCACACCAGGCCTTCCTGTTTTCCGCCCTCCTCTGAAGTTTGCTCAATTTCATGTTCGTTGCATCTATGACACTGTCTAACCATCTCATCCTTTGCCATCCCCGTCTTCTTTGACCTTCAATCTTTCCCAGCATCAGGGTCTTCTCCAGTGAGTGCTCCCTTCTCATTTGGTGGCCAAAGTATTTGAGCTTCAGTTTCATTATCTGGCCTTCTAGGGAACAGTCAGGGTTGATTTCTTTTAGGATTGACTGATTTGATCTTCTTGCAGTCCAAGGGACTCTCAAGAGTCTTCTCCAGCACCATAGTTCAAAAGAATCTAATCTTCGGCGCTCGGCCTTCCTTATAGTCTAACTCTCGCAGCCATACATGACTACTAGGAATACCATTGCTTTGACCATGCGCACTTTTGTTGGCAGGGTGATGTCTCTACTTTTTATCATGCTGTTTAGGTTCGCCATCTCTTTCCTCCCAAGGAGCAGGCGTCTTTTAATTTCATGGCTGCTGTCACCATCTGCGGTGATCTGGGATCCCAGGAACGTGACGTCTGTCACTACTTCCACGACTTCCCCTTCTATTTGCCAAGGAGTGCTGGGGCCGGATGCCATGATCTTAGTTCTTTTGATGTTGAGCTTCAAGCCCACTTTTGCGCTCTCCTCTTTCACTCTGAGCAAAAGGCTCTTAAGTGTCTTTACTAGAGCTGTCAAATTAGTTCATAAATCGGATCAACTACAATAAGATTAGCCTGAAATCCTAATAGTTCTGCCATTATGTTTCAAGTAGACTGCACTCAGTGTCAAGCCTTCTAGGCCCACACATTGCAATTTGTCTCCAGCTATAAAAATGCAGCTATTTTGCTTGGACCAAATCTACCTGTTCTTGGGCCAACCGAATGCAGAGTTGCAAACAAATTATAATCAAACTGAGCCCCCTCT